TGTTGTTGTTGTTGTTGTTGTTGTTGTTGTTGTTGTTGTTGTTGTTGTTGTTGTTGTTGTTGTTGTTGTTGTTGTTGTTGTTGTTGTTGTTGTTGTTGTTGTTGTTGTTGTTGTTGTTGTTGTTGTTGTTGTTGTTGTTGTTGTTGTTGTTGTTGTTGTTGTTGTTGTTGTTGTTGTTGTTGTTGTTGTTGTTGTTGTTGTTGTTGTTGTTGTTGTTGTTGTTGTTGTTGTTGTTGTTGTTGTTGTTGTTGTTGTTGTTGTTGTTGTTGTTGTTGTTGTTGTTGTTGTTGTTGTTGTTGTTGTTGTTGTTGTTGTTGTTGTTGTTGTTGTTGTTGTTGTTGTTGTTGTTGTTGTTGTTGTTGTTGTTGTTGTTGTTGTTGTTGTTGTTGTTGTTGTTGTTGTTGTTGTTGTTGTTGTTGTTGTTGTTGTTGTTGTTGTTGTTGTTGTTGTTGTTGTTGTTGTTGTTGTTGTTGTTGTTTGTTGTTGTTGTTGTTGTTGTTGTTGTTGTTGTTGTTGTTGTTGTTGTTGTTGTTGTTGTTGTTGTTGTTGTTGTTGTTGTTGTTGTTGTTGTTGTTGTTGTTGTTGTTGTTGTTGTTGTTGTTGTTGTTGTTGTTGTTGTTGTTGTTGTTGTTGTTGTTGATGTTGTTGTTGTTGTTGTTGTTGTTGTTGTTGTTGTTGTTGTTGTTGTTGTTGTTGTTGTTGTTGTTGTTGTTGTTGTTGTTGTTGTTGTTGTTGTTGTTGTTGTTGTTGTTGTTGTTGTTGTTGTTGTTGTTGTTGTTGTTGTTGTTGTTGTTGTTGTTGTTGTTGTTGTTGTTGTTGTTGTTGTGTTTTGTTGTTTTTGTTGTTGTTGTTTTTGCTGTTCTGGGTTGTGATTGTTGTCGTTGCTGTCGTTGCTGTCTTTGCTGTTGTTGCCGCTGTTGTTGCTGTTGTTGCTGCTGCTGTTGTTGCTGTTGTTGCCGTTGCCGACCCGAAAGGGTGTGTCTACTGTTCAAGTTCCATCATAAGAACCCCCGCCATTAGGGGACAAGGAATCACCACCAAACAGAACCCCCCTTCTAAAATGAGTTTAACTACCATTGTGGGTGAACTGGAAGCACTGGGAATACAAATATTGTCGCCTTTTGCGCCGGTGGTGGAACCCATCTCAGACTTGTCGGACCTGCAAGCAGATTCACTTACAGCTGAGGGCAGCAGAGTAAGCCCTCAAACCGCGCAAAGATCCCGCGAAAGAAATCTTCCCCGCTCACCCCACTCAAAAAATAAGGCACACAACAAACCCTCCAAAACAAAGGTGCTCGCAAACCAAAACCAAACCTGCGCCAAATCCGGATCCAAAGAGTCTGTCGACCCAGGAAGCGGCTGCACAGCCCCAGGCGCGCCACGGCGCAAGGGCCTGCTGCGTCTCCGAGCACGATGATCACCCGAGACCTCAGGTTGGCCCTTCCCTGCACACACTACTCCGCCCTCAGGGTGTGGTAGTGCATGCGGTAAATGACTACAAAAGGGCTGGTATCTACTATGGAAAACCCTCTTGCGCATCTACAAGAAACAAGGTAGCGCGGCTTCTCAGCGCCCAGGGTATTATCACCGTTTCGTGTGGCCTGCGTAGGGACTTGTCAAGATAGTAGGCATCATTCAACCTGTTGCGAAGTTGCTCTTGCAAATTGAATGGCCCAATCGGCCGCGCCACCAAAACAGCCGCCGGGTATTTGGAGCAGGGGAATGCGGTCCCAAGAGGGACGCTAGGCTCGATTCCTTATATCAGGGCGGTTTTAGCGGCTTCTATGAGATGTATAGTGCTTGGTGTGTATTTAGTCCAAACAAATTCTCCTGGTCCTACGGCAAGGGACCGCTCAATTCTCCCAAAAAGGGCCAATGGGACCAAAAACTAAACATCCGACCGCTAAAAACACTCTAAAGGGTGCATAGACTTGGGTCCAGGGAATTTTGCACTGGGTATCTCTTTTTGAGGAGACTCCGACCCTTTTCGGGGGGAGACCAAACGGAAGCCATGTTTGGTTGTTCCCTTTTTGTTGTCAAACCCATATGTTTCGTGAAGCATTTGAAGGGTAAAACTCCAGGGAGAGTGTGCAAATGGTGACAGTCCTGGCTACTGGCTTCCTGGCTCGGCATGCCTTTGGGGGAGGTGGGCCTCGGGCCAGGTGGGCTGGGCTAAATGATGACGGTCAGAAGCACCTTCATGGCCGTGCGTCCCTTTGGGGTATGCAGGGTCGGGGCATCCCTTTGTTTGAGGCGCCGGGGCTGGGGTGGGGCAAGATGATGACGCTTCCTGGCCCGGCATCCCTTTGTGTTCGGGTGGGCTAGCCGTACTATAACCCATGCTGTAGTGGAGACTGCTCATATGAGCCATGGACTCTGCTGCGGGCCAACAAGCTGGCGCAATCTTGCCTGGCTGCACCTCTCCGACCCTCATCATCTATCTGTTCAACTTAGAATTCACAAACCTGCAATATAAATTCCCAGGGCGGCCTTCATGGGTGAAATTGTTTACCAAGTAAGCCCTGTAGCCATTGTGTTCCTTTACGTCTCATTTGCCCCTTTCTCACTGTTTCCATGGTAGGCAACCCTTGGAAGTTCTTACCTCTAGGTTTTTGCATGATTGCTTCTCCTGGTTACCAACTATAGCGACAACTGGAAGCAGTGGGAAAGGAAACCCGGCAACTTTCTATTGCGGAGAGGGTCATCCGGCTCGGCGCATCAGCGCCTTGTAAAACCGTTTATATAAAAATACTCATCCATTCATTGGCCCAAAAGGAATGTTTAAACCAGGGGACATGGGTGTGTCCTTTTTAGTATTCGGACTCCCCCCCGAAAAAAGAGGAAAATAAAAGAAACAACAACCACAAACTTTGGTTTTCCCTTTGGTTTCCCTTGCGCATCACCCAAAAAAGGGCCACTCTCAAAAAAAGGCAAGCCCAAATGAGGTCCTTTGACCAATGCCAAGAGGCAAGGACTCGTCGGTCATGATGGAAGTCGTCAGGGCCAAAGGGCGATTTCGAAAGCAAAGGCTTGAGCCGGCGGAATGAAGATCCCAAATGGGTGTGTCTTTTCTGGAGTTGGTACGCTGTTGTTGGTGTTTTAAAGGAAAACCACAAGGACAACCACCATGAAAAAACAGTGGGGGGGGTTAAGAAAAGCCCACCGCTGTTTACCGAAGGATTGAGAAAAGAAAAACAGGAGGAGTTCCTAAAAAAAACACGAAATTGACCGAAGTGAGACTTGCCCAATTGAAGTTGCGCGGGAAATTCGTTAAAACAATGACAGAAATGGGTGCCGTCCCCGCCCACTGTACTCCTGAGGTTGAGTCGCCTTAGGCCGCCCCTTCGAGGAAGTCCCGTTAAATCCGCGTACGATGGGGAACCCGCTTTTGGCCCATCCTTTCCCAGGATCCCAAGGCCCAAATCAGGGTTGATCCCAGCGAAACCACATGACCAATCAACCCCTGCTCGATTAATAGGGGGGTCCGGGGTCAGCATTGCCGTTTGAACCTGCTGTGGGTTTGAACCTGCTGTGGGAGCAGCCGAAGGGACCCATCCCAGACACTCCTGACTCTAGGGTTTGAAGGCCCGGGCAGTGGTCGGGGGCCTGGACAGTTGATATGTCACTAGGCCACAGGATCCACGCTGTTTTCCTTTGTCCGTCCAAAGTTCCACGTATTGATGGCTACCCCTAGAATTGAACCCAAGAGTGGGCGATGAGTCATGTACTCCTAAAAGGAACCCTTCATTCCCTTGGAAACCCTCCAAAATGCCATCATGGGTGGGTTTCCAGGGGGGTTCCGCCCGCCACAAATAAATGGGGGAGGGGGGGAGTTGAGAAGAACCCCGCCCCGGCAAATTGCATGGAGAGCGGCTGCCATATGGTTGTTCCACTTCTGCACTCGTGCCTGCCGCGCAAACATCTGCCCGAAGGGTACGGAAACTGCGCTGTCCGGTGATCCTTTGCTAAAAGTCAGACTCGGGGTGTGTCAGAAATCCACTTCTCAACCCTAAAAGTCTTTGTTGAACCGTATGGCTAACCTCCAAGTACAAACATCCCCAAAGGTGGGCTTGTCGGCGAGTTGTTGCGGGGTTCAGCCCAGACGATGTTTTCAGGATTCATATCACCATAACTTGCAATAGTTTGCCAAGCTTTCTTTTTCTGGCGAAATTGCTGGTTTTGGAATGTAAATCGACCTTTTTAAGCCGGTGGTTACAGCAACTCTGTCCCATTGGTTTCGATTTCAAGCAACTCTAACATGGCACTCACGCGAATAAGGAACCCCCTAATAAAGGCTTTATCTTGGCATTGGAAATAAGCAACTCCTTCCCCGTCCAAGTCTTGGTCAGAGGGAATCATTCATTAAACTCAACAAGTGAGTGTGTCTTTGCCATTCTCATTATGTCATGGTTATTTATGTTTTCCCTTTTTTTAGTTTATGTTGTTTTCTTAGGGGGGATGCACAATGTTGAAAGATCAGCAATGCAGAAACCTCTACTTGAATGAACAAAAACCAAATCCGAAGGACCGTACGAGTTTCAGGGGGTGGTTCCTTTTTAGTAAGGACATTATCTATTGTAGGTGGTCCTCCAATGATCTATACTCTATATAGGGTGGTCCTCTGATTAGGGTGCTATCCTGAGTCATTGGTGTCCCATGTTTCTTTGGGGAACCTCAAGCTCGAGGAGCTTTGGGTCAGCCATGTCAAGACATTTTGGGGGCTCCCAAGTCGAGTCACTCGTGTCAACGCCACTCAAGAATGCCCAAAGGAAGCCAGACATGTGGAGGTGTCACCTCCATGTGGTACAGTGAGTTGTACCTATCGTCCCATACGTTTATCTTCCCAAGATCTGACTTCTCGCAGGGGCTCCTATATTTGCTCCTTGGGGTAATGTTGAAAGAGGAATGATCAGCTTCCCTCTGATTAGTGGTTTGGATTGGTTTGCCAAACCGGGCCGGGCTCCAAACCGCTGCTTTCGCCCCGAAACATAACGAAGCGCTCATCTCGCCTCTGCAAGTTCCTTGATCCGCTTGTCCCGGAGCCGCTCGAACCTAAGGCCCAGCGACATCCGCAAAACCAGGCTTGGGGTCAAACCAAAAAATGGGCACCCCTAGTGGTGTTCGTTTTGGTGACCCTTTATACAAACCAAGGCAGCCAGGCACAAAATAGGTCCAGTTTAGGTGGCGGAATGCCTGGAAGCACTGGTACTGGAAAGGTTGCCCTACCACCCGGAATCCGAGCAAACAAACATACTTGCTGGTGCAAAGAGAACGTGAAGGAAGCCCAAGGGCAACTAAGTTCGAGTCTGGCAATGGTAAAGGCTAGTCGATTTGGCAACGTGACCAACAGGTCTAAACAGCCGCGGGCGGAGAACTGAGGAAACCAAAGGTCCCCCCAGTCAGAACGCATGGCTTATGACGGGTGGGAGACAAAAGAGCATCTGTCACGCACCGCTGGGAAAAGGCGTACATTCTCTGAAGATCAATCAATAAGCCCAACCCCCTTGCAGCAAGCTGTTTGGGGCAAAAGTCCCCAAAGAAGAGACCAAAAACAACAACGACCAACAAACAAGCCTCAAACCACTTAACTCACTTCCTGAGCAGATTGTCCAAGCAAAGTCAAGACTTGTTGTTTACCACCAACATGGTGTTCACACAAAGACTCAAGTTGTGGACTTCTGAGGGGTGCTTCCCTTCTTAGAAGGGATGCCCCCCTATGAATCAACCAGGTAGGCATCAGAAACATGCTCTCCGAGCGCCCGCACTTCGCGCGGCGCTGCTGCTCTTCCATCTCCGCCTCACGTGGACCCTACTGGCTTGCTCTTCCTCACGTAGGTAGAGGTCGATCACCAGTTGTAGGTTTAATGGAAAAGCCGTGAGTCATTTCCTAAAGATCCTCGTGGGCGATTTGGTCACACAAAACAAACAGCCAAGGGTTTGTCAACATCTTGGGACCCTGAAATGATGGGTGTCTCTTCTTGATTCATTGAGGGCGCGGCTGAAGCCACCATGTAATGCACTACCGCTTTGTTTTCCCGACCCCGCAAAGAATCAAAAGGGCATTGTGTTCTCTTTCCGCGTGAGCCATTTGTTTGAGAGTGACCAAATCAAGAAAGAAAGCCCAGAGTTGCATCACTCAAGTGCCGCGTTGGCATCCGGTGCACCCCTCACTCCAGCCGATTCTTTTTGTTCCTTCTGGAAGATCCCTTGTTATGGGATGTTTATCAGAATGTGGGTGTGTGAATTTCTTTGACCCTGGAAAACCCAAAGGAAATCAACTCTTTCGGGGGTTCCCCCATTTTGATGTGCCCTGTCACCCTCTTCCCCCCCCCTCATCCCCAAACCAGCAACAAGTTCCTTCAAAGTTGACTTGTGAGGGGAAACCGGTCACAAACCACATGAGTAGCCTTATTGCTTCTATTTGGTTTCTCTGCCCTTAAGCTTTCATTTGCGGAACTGGATGTTTTCCCGCAATGGTTCCCCACTTGGTGGATTTCAACCTGCTGGTCTGATGATTCTATGAAGGGAAAGGCCACTCGAGGGAGACCATTTGCTCTCATGCTTCATCCCGGATTGTGCGGGCGCCTGCCGCCTGAATCGAGACCTTATGTCAAGTGGTCCCCCCAAACTATGTCATCTAGGCAAATTGCCACAATTCACAACAGGAAATGAGGAATCTCCACATAAGGAACCTTCATCATGGGTCAGCTCTTCTTACCCCTGAATCAGTGAGCTCGATGGAACTTGCACTTGGTTTAAATGACAGCCAAAAGGAACGCCACCAGTGTTGGGGGCCCAAATCCCTGTATCCACACATATTACCAGGGGCTAAATGATTAGACACATGATACTACCATCATCATGCAATCTGGTTGTTAAATAGTACTTACCCCCATGTCTTCGGTGATCTGTTTCGTGTTGTCTGCTTCCATTGAAAAACAAAGCCCCTAAAATATGTACATGTTGAGGTGGACATCATTTAGAGCAGCAACAATACAATTTGACATCATTTTAGGTGGACATCTAGCACCTAAACAACTTGAGCAAACAAGAACGCAATAAACAGCCCCCGTCTTTTTTGGCCGGCTCGCTCGCTCCAGCAACCTGAGCTCCGGGGTCCCCGGCCCGCATTTTAGCTTCCACGGCGTCCAGGAGCTTGTCAGTGTCGGACTTACCGCCCTCCTGGGCGCTCAAAATCGGAAAAAGTTGCCAAAAAAACGGGCTCTGCGTTTCTTTGTACCCGTTTTTGGGGTCGGGTGAGAAGAAAAAGGAAACCAAAGGTCGCTGGCTGGAGCCAAAAGAACAGTTGATGCATTGCAACCATGGATCCAAAACAGCTGGGTGTGTCTCTTTTTAGGGACCCCCAGAAATGACGGTTGTCCTTTGGGCTTTCCTTGAAAACCGCAAAAAAGGCTACCAACTCCGAAAAAACGACCTAGCCAATTTTCGGTTGACCCTTTTCAGTGGGGAACCCGCTGAACCAACAGGGGGCTCCCAGACTCCAAGGGTTCCGCAGCTGTGAGAAACCCATCATGTTGACGCAGGAGCAAACGAGTCACATGGTTGATGAAACGGGAACAACAAGCAAGCCACACGCTTGTTTGTTTGTTTGTTTGTTTGATTGTTTGTTTGTTTGTTTGTTTGTTTGCTTGCTTGCTTGCTTGCTTGCTTGCTTGCTTGCTTGCTTGCTTGCTTGGTTGGTTTGTTTGTTTGTTTGTTTGTTTGTTTGTTTGTTTGTTTGTTTGTTTGTTTGTTTGTTTGTTTGTTTGTTTGTTTGTGTTTGTCTTCTTTTTCTCTTTGGGGGGGGGCTTATTTTCACACATTCAAGAGGGTTCATGCTTGAACTTCCAAACAAAAATCCGTGAGGTTTATGAATCCATGTTGTTTGTTTCGATCCGAGGCCAGCATGTGCCGTGTGCCATTTGCCTCCGTTCATACGGCATACACAACATTTTGGCCAAACGGGTACACCAACACTACGGCGGAAAAAAACGCAGCCCAATGGCGTTCCACTGTGGCACCAAGGCGTGGCGAACTGGTGAAGAGCCAAGGAACACCTGTCTACCCTACAAAAAGCTGTAGGTTAGCGGTTATTGTGTACGTATATATATATATACATCTAATAATACTCTTATTGTTGTTATTATGATTATTATGATTATTATTATGATGATGATTAGTATTATTTGTATTATTATTATTATTCAGATTATTACTATTATTTATTATTATTATTATTATTATTATTATTATTATTATTATTATTATTATTATTATTATTGGAAGGTACCATGTTTTTGTTATTGGTTGAACGGGGACCAAAAGGAAGAACATAACACTATTTTCTGTTGGCATCGATTTCCTCTTGCAGCCCGTTTTTATCAGGCGCGCCGATGAAAAACCTGCGGAGCCGAGTTGCTGAAACCAGCAAAGGCCACCCAAGACTCCACCGTTGAACAACTTTTGACCAAAGCGGAAATCACTCGGACTTGTTGACCAACAAAACATGAAGAATATCAACTGGCACGGAAATGTTGACCAACATCAGTGCATGGAACACATCGACCAAAAAACAGCCAATGGAATAAACTGTCGTGGAACAACTTGACCAAACGCAGCTTAAATCAACTGAACATGAAACATATTCACCCAAATCAGATGGAATAAATCGACGTGGAACAGTGGAACCAAAATCATCAGAAATCAACTGAGCGAGCAACACACTGACCTATCGTAGAACAGTTTAACCAATCCACTGAGCGAGGAAGTTCAACCAAAATCAGCTGAAAACAACTGAACGTGGAACATTGACCCAAACTCAGCCAGAATCAACTGACGTGGAACCAAAATCAGCAGAACATGAAACTGGCGTGGAACGTCATCAGCTGCAATAAAGTGACATGGCCATTTAGCTTCCATCCGGGTTTTCTTGTTTGAGGCTAAATAGAAAGCCGCCCAAATAACAGGCTGCAACTGAACTGGAGGGGCGAACGCCGCGAACGCCGCGAACGCATCCAGGCCCAACCTGTCCTGCGCCCCCTCCTTTCTGCTGGCGCGCTTGTCCTCGCCGGACTGGTGACCAAACTTGATTCGGGTAAGCCAAGCAGCTCGCTGTTGCTTACTCTAGGTCCTCCAGTAGAGAGGTTGGAATCTGGAGACCCTTTTTACTGTAGTCTATTTTAGTAGCGGAACCCTCCCCCAAAAAAGGGTAAAAGGGCACTACTGGGGGACCTAGTACCGGGAACCTTGGTTGTCTTGACCCCCTAAGATCCTAAGATTTACCCACCCCTGCTGGCAGCAGGAGAATCTCTAAAGGATACTATTGATGGTAATGGGAATTGATAGTAGATGATGGATTTTATGGGGGCTTACTTAATGGCAGCTGATGTTGTTGAAAGACTGAGTTTGCTTTGCCACATACACCCCGGCTGTCACTCAGAAAGGTGCTGAGTAACTTCTCGCAACAGCCCAACCGCACAAGCCGCAAGCCCTCCATGGGGGTTGCAACAGTTGAAGCCTCAGCTGTTGGCCACCAATCGCATGATGTTTGTTTCGTTCTCTGATTCGTGTTTGGGTGTGTCTTTGTTAGGGGACCCAACCCCAAGAAAGGGTACCCACAACAAAAGACAGCCCCATTTAGAAAGCCTTAAAATAGACAAATCTTTCCCAGAAGAAACAAAACGCTGCTCTCGGCTGTTTGTGCTGCGTGTGACAAGCAAAGAACACGCACAGCCCTCTTTGTTTTAACAGGGCTCTGAAGGGCAATCAATGACTCATCAAGATATTATGCAAATCCAACAATTCGCCCAACTCCAAACATTAGCAGAGGGTGCGCCTTAAAATAGGCGGCCCCAAGAAGGATAAACATGGCTTCGGTTTCCCTTCGCTTTCCATCTAATTCATTCTATTAATGGTACCCACGAAAAAGACAGCCCTGCCCGCTCAGACTTTGATTCACAGGAAGGGGTCCGAAAAAGTTACACAGACACATCCCCTGTTTTAAAGTTTCCTGCAAACATGGGAACTATGAGGATCAGTTGGCAGTTGGAAAAGGGGATCCGGATGACAAGACCAATTCAGAGTACTTGAAGGGTTCAAAGGCCGATTTGGGCACCAGAGGAGGGGGGGAGTGGGTTGTCAAAACTATGCATCCTGGTTGTTGGACCCAGGTACCGCCTCGTGCCGCCTTGTAATCGGGATACAAAGGGTAGCGAATCCTGGCAAACCCCAACTTAGTACTCGGCTTTGGGATCAATCACGTGGACATCTTCCTAAACAACGCCATTCTCACCCATAAATCCTAACCCACTGTGAATTCGGTGCAGTGCTTAATTGTATTTGACCCTTTCAGAAAACTAAAGCGAGG